TATAAATCAATTTATACATTAATAATATAAATATGATAAATATTGAAATAAAATATATTTCTAGCGGAAAATGCAATGAATCTAAATAATTTTAATCACCAAAAACTGCATGGGAAATATTTTATCTTTTACTTTGTATATAATTGCATATCGATACCGATGTATAAATTATTATAAATATATATATATATATATATATATATATATTGTTATTAACATTGTATTATTGGTGTACTTTACTTTCAATGTATAAATTATGATGCGATACAATAAATACAATACTCGTTCTCGAGACTCTCTTATATGTATAGACTATTCCATTATGTATTTATGAGAAATAAACGAATGAATAGTTGATACGCAGACGAAGGCGATTCGGTAGAACGTCATGAAACAAAATCGGTTCGACGAGATGAACTGTGCGCAAGCTCCAAAATTTCAGCGTAAAAAATTTATAAATAGATTAATTTTGATATCGTAACGTTGATATTCGTTTGGACGCAATTTCACATTGCGTTGCTATGTATCGCGTGTGTTGCCGACATGAACGTGTCTGTCGTTCGTAGCACCTAATGGATTGTAATTCTGTTTTGTTCGTTTGATAGACGGACCGGATAATAATTCATTCGCAATTAACCCGTGAGAACCGACATGTTAACGCTCACGAATTGTCAGCCAGGTGAATATCCCGCGTCATATTTCAATCCGCGAGAAATCGAAATTAATAGAAAATTACATAATCTAATCGTTTCGCAAAAATACTCGTGGAAAAAACTACACAAAATTCCACGTAAAATATAAACTATTTAAGATGTAAAGATTCTTTCTCCCTAATGAATATAAAATTGATTTTTTCAGTGTTGCAATTGCAACAAAGTTTGTCACAAACTCTTGGATTTCAAAATCGAATACAGTGGATCTTTATATTTTATTTAAGCATGTTTTGTACCTATTTTTAAAATATTGAGAATTTAATGAAAATTGTAGAATGTCCTTACATATGTTTAGAATCTTCAATAATAGAAGAATCTCTATAATTTTTAAATCGATTCACTAAAGCGTTTACAAGTAATAAGGATTTTAATTTGCACCGAATTAACATGTGTTCTTATGAGAAACGTATAACCACGTCGATTCGAATGACAAAAACACATGGAAATAATATTCAGAATTTGTTTAAAATTTACAAAAGTTTAGTTATACAGAGAAAATATTTGGTCAAATAATATTATACAAGTACTAACTGGTTAAAACGATATTAAATATAATTCAATGAAGTTAGCAATGTATCTGTCACAAGGCGAAATTCTCTGTCAAAAATTAATCATTTCGATTAAGGATATTTTGTATCTATTTTCAAAATATTGAAAATTTAATGAAAATTGTAGAATGTCCTTATATATGTTCAGAATCTTCAGTATAATTTTTAAATCGATTCACTAAAGCGTTCACAAGTTATAAGGATTTAATTTGCACCGAATTAACATGTGTTTTTATGGGAAACGTATAATCACGTTCAAATGACAAAAACACATGGAAATAATATTCAGAATTTAAAATTTACAAAAGTTTAGTTATACAGAGAAAATATTTGGTCAAATAATATTATACAAGTACTAACTGGTTAAAAAAATATTAAATATAATTCAATGAAGTTAGCCATGTATCTGTCACAAGGCGAAATTCTCTGTCAAAAGTTAATCATTTCGATTAACAAAATTCGGAATATTTCAGTAAAAACGCAAAAAATATTAAAAAATACATCTCTGCGTTGTAGCTGAAGAAAAAAAATAAATCAAATTGTAATATTCCACACAATTTCTTACTCAAAATACACCAAAAGTGGATATATTCGTCAATATTGATTTTCAGCTGCTTTTTGCTGGGATTGTACATACAAAACATCCTTAATTCGAAATAGCTTTTTACTGCAATTTTAATTTGAGATGCACACTTACTAACATGTTTTGATCATACAAATTTGGTATCCATTTCATTTTACGAATAGAATTTCGTAGCGTTTCCCGAAATTATAATTTCCAAGTTCGCTTTTGAGCTGTACTGCTAGTTGGAAAACACGCAATATATAAACTATATAGCCAATATGCTCTTGATTCAGAGATATGTCCTTACTTAGTGCACACCGATCTTCAACTTAGCGTAATGCGCTTGATGAGAAGCTTCGTGAAACTTTAGAAAACTTACAATCTAGTTCATATAAATTTGATTCGAGAGGAAACAACAATAAGTGACTGTATATTGTGGATATTCCAGCATTATATTGTGGTCATTCCTATGGTTGAAATAATTTTATCTGTGAAAATATTTATAGCATCTATTTGCATTAAAATTTTTATATCAAGCCCTGTTTATTTTTTCATCGCTTCTTCACAGTTAATATTAATATAAAATCCTGTGAATACTATAAAAATTCAACAGTATATGTGTGTGTATTTTTTCTCATTTTTATTAAAATAAATCTATTTAAAATTTATTACTTTTGATGGAAAGTGGCTTCTTTGAGAATTTTATGCTTTGAATGAATATGCAAAGATTTCTTTACATAATTTAAATTTTTTACATCGAGGATTTAATTGTTATAAGAATGTCGCAAATTTCGAAATCATACTTCAATGACTTTTTCTACACGTCCCATTTATATGATGAATATCCTGTGCGCATTTCCGGTTCGTCGGGGCTAATGAACTCGACGTCGCGTTCGAATGATGATTAATCGGATTTTGCGGTATCTAGATAGCAGTGGCGCTTTATTTTCCATTTCAACGCAGAACGCTTTCAGGAAATGAAGGGAGGTAGGAATGGAAAAGAGAACCGCACGTGACGTTTGAAAAGCCACGAGGAAGCCGATACCGGCGCGAACACGAGTAATTAATAGAATATTTCATGTGCGTTGCCGAGATGTTACCTTTAACGTTACTCTTGAATAAACGAGCTTCGTGTAATGTATGAACGGTATATAGGTCCACGTGTAATATAAGTCGCGTGTCGAAAACGACGATCCTTTTTTTCTCTCTTTTCATATTCAATACGACCGACTTTTTCTTATCGATCCAATGAAGATTAGTTAGGCATCGCCAATACATTAAGAGAAAAAAAAACTATTAACGGCCGTGGTACGCGTCAGAAAATAGACGAACACAAGTGCTCGATCGCGTGACTACCGACCGCCCCGTTGATGCACCGAGATTAGGCCAGACAACGTAACCTAATTAACAAAAGAACGTTTCGCTAGATTTCTACTACGCTCCATTAATTTATTCCTACAAATATTTTTTTATTCGTTCGATCGACTTAAAAAATTTATTATCGTCATATCGAGATTTATGCGTGCCATTTGGTGTCGATCTTCAAATAATTTCATAATTTTAGGGAACTAAAAATACATTTAGATTTATATAACAAGATAAAATAATTTTAAAGACTAAATTAAAAACTATCAAGGTGCTCATTATTTTCGCTGCGTAATAGGATCGTATTCTTCTTGATGTTTTTATTATTATTATGTAGAACAGAAATTAAAAGCATATTTATTAATTTTCATTTTTTAGTAAAAAAAATTATCACGAGTTTTCGAGATCAAGTTGCGATTGCATATTTGAAAAAGTTTTGTCTTCTAACAATAAGAGTTTTTATATTTAATAATATACATTATAATTACATTACATTATAATTTTCTGTTCCTTTTTCTTCCCTTTCTTATGTAACATATACAAGTATCTATATCTTATATATACATATATATATATATATATATATATATAGGGTGCGCAAAAAATATCCGATAAAATATCTTGAAAATAAGACATTTTAGAAAAAAATGTTTCGTACAAAGTTGTTGGGTGTCAATAAATGCATCAAATAGCAAAACTTATTTGATCTCGAACGTAAAATGGAGGAACTCTCAAGGTCAACTTTAAAATTTTAAATAGAAACTGTCAATTTTTATTCAATATTCTTATAGCCTATCTCGAGAGCTCTCCAAAACACTATAATTAAGTTATTTTTTATTGAGTATTTTTCGAGTTATGAGGCTTGATAATTTCTTAATTTTACATAAATCATAAAATATTTAATAAAATATTCATTTCTTGATTATCTTATCTTAATACTTTTATGCACAAAAAATAATGAGGAATCAATTGGTGTAAAGAAAAAAACAGTTGTTTTTATGAAAAAATGTAATTGTTAATTGCAAATTACATATTTTTTCAGAAATAATTGTTGTTTGAAGATAATTTAATTCAAATATATATATATATATATATATATATATAATATATATATATATATATATAATATATATATATATATATATAAATATATATATTATATATATTAATATATATATTATAAATATATATATTATATATATATATATATATAATATATATATATATATATATATATATATATATATAGATAGAAATATATATATATATATATATATATATATTTCTATCTAGTCACACATGTTTTAATAGTAAATATATAAATTACTCAACAATAGACTTTTCATTCAATAATGAAAATAGCAACTTAAGAAAAACTTAATTAAATATATCCATATTAATTATATGAAAACTTAATTAAATATGTGCATTTTGAATTAAGTTATCCTCAAAAACATAAAAAACAAAAAAATATTGTAATAAAAATATAATTTTTGTAATCGTAAAACATACTAACATGTAAGAAGAAAAAATTACGATATTTTTATTCAATAATATTATTTTATTCATTAATATTTCATATTATTTACACATTTGAAGGCACAAAGAAATGCATAATCGTTAATAAAACAATAGAACAAATGTATGTGGTTTAAAATTTTTATAATAAATCTTAATGTCGCGTTATGCTTCGACCTTAAATAATAAACGTAAACAAGTGTATTTTTTGCATAATTTATATTATAAAATTTTCCTTGTGCATAAAATCATTTCTACTTTGTAATTTAATTAATTTCCGTTTACTTCCAGGATGCTGGGTAGCGTGGGAGGTCGACACGTGTCTACGCGTCGGCGTGGCAGCAATCCGTTGATGCGTGGAAGTGTGGGCCTCATCGGTTATGGCGCTACCGGGATCGGCGGAAACGCGGCCGATGGCAATGCGATGCATTCGGAACCGGTGCCCAGATATGCCGCCAGGAGACGAAGGGCAGTCACCACCAGCGACCACAAGAGTTGCGCCCTTATACAAACACGGCTCAAGCTCGGCGATATTATGTGAGTCGCACCCTTTATATTTTCTTACTGAACTCTTTAGCTACGACTTTATTTACGCCTAGGGGAACTTTGATATATAGAGAAGAAAATAAAATTTCACATAATCATGTCTTCGAGACTTATTATAGCATGTACTGATTTATCGTTATCGTTATTTTATAATTAATATGAAAATATATTATACGGGGTAAAGTGTATAATATAATAAGGGATCGTAATTGCAGTGCATTTCCATCTTGTTCATCGGTAATTTAAGAAAGACGTCTGCGTGTATCATAGATGAAAAGTTAAGAATATTAATTATATTAATATTAACTATTATTCATGCGAATTTAAGAGGATATTAGAGTCCTGTTTTATCGATAAAATGCTATATTTTATTTTTGTCTGAAATCTTTTTATTAGTTGCACAGAATAAATGCTCCTTCACGATTAAAGTATATACATAAATAAAGCGGGAACCTCCTGATTTTATGTTAAAAATTGAAAAATCATAAAAAGGTCATAACAATATTTGCTTAATATAAAGTTTTGCAGTTTGTATACAAAATAAAATAGGTTCCCGCTAGAGATTGTATGAAGGAATATAAATGAATTTTTAGAGAGTTTAGAATACAAAAGATTTCGGTTTATTTAAAATCTTTTTCATACAAAATAAATATTATTACGATTTGACCCCAGAAGCCGATAAAAAAAACTAATTTTTCAATTTTTTCTTAATTTTTAACATAAAACCAGGAGGTTCTCGTTTTGTTTCTGTATGTATTGTATATTTAATCGTGGAGGAGCATTTATTATTCTGTGTAACTAATAAAAAGATTTTGGACAAAAATGAAATATGACATTTTATCGGTAAAACAGGACTCTGGCATTTTCTTAATAGATGATTTAATAATACTTTTGAGATCTGTTGCTTAAATTATAATTATTCATAGAATTTCACATTTAATCGTTCAACTCGCATAAAAATATCATGCTCTAGTAAAAGAATTTTCTTATATTTTTATTAATAATTTTTTTATGAAACTCGAAAATATAAAAATAAAATACATAGTCTTTTTGTACGGATGAGACAATTAACAATATTAAATTTTGTTGATTTTTTTAAGGATAGGATTAAGGAAAAATATAGATTTATCTTTACCAGAAATTACTGAATAAGTATGATTTCTTATCAGTCGGAATTTATCACTATCTTGTACTATCAGCGCAATCTATTTTACCGACATAGTCTTAACTCCTTTCATCCCCTATATTTCCCCGTAATGTCGGTACCAGTCGACTATGGCTTATGTCGATAAAGAGTATCACAGTACCCTGTAGCACTTCTCATCGAACGGTATGTTTCAAGCCAGCTACGACTGTTGGTAATATTTTGCACCCCTATATTTACAACCCTTGTTGAACAAGCAAAGTTGGCAAATGAAGAGTGATAAAGCTTTTATCTTGATATTTCGTTACTAGATAAATGATGATTTAAATTATTACTATTAAATATTGAATTATTTTTACCGATACATTCCAATAAAAAACAATACTTAAAAGTTGTCTTTTGTAATACACGATTTTATACCTCTTAATTTATCTAAAATTATTTCTAACTTAATATTTTATAGACATAATAAAATCGATAAAATAATTTCTGCGGATAGATAACTTTTTCTATTGTGTTTAAACAGAAAAGATCTAAGAAAAAAGTAATATTACACGGTACATCTTTTTTTTTTATAAAATTATATAAATTATGATCATGATTACAATGTTCTAATAATTTCGACATTATAACAATGTAATTGTCGTTTGCTTTTTTCTCGCTTTCTGCGAAGGAAACCCTTTAATTCAGGCAATTTATCCGCCAATGATAACCCGAGCCTTCGATCGCAGCGCGGAGATGGTGCCAAATGGGGGCTGCGTCTGACCATGCCAGGTCATGCACTACTGCGGCCGAATTAAAGTCTAATGTAGCGAGGTGTCTGCACTCCCCTCGCGTCATCCGTCCGGCTTTACACGCTATCGATTAGCCTTCGATTGTTTGGCCGTTACTTTCTATTTCCAGCAACGCGCGCTGTCACCGACCGTTCACCAGCGAATCTAATTACGATCTACCTGTCCACCGTTTTGTTATTTTTCTATGTTCTCAAAACACTCATTTTCCATCTTTGAAATAAACATGTCGATTTTCTCTCTCATGGACTTTCTTATAAACACAGAAATCGGCAAAGCGTCACTTTAAATTTTTGCTGATTTCATCAAGATTGTCTCGTATTCAACGTTATAATTATCTCATTATAATCGCATTCAATTGCATCTGTTTTTTTTTCTATTTATTTTCATTTCTTATCATTTTTTTATTTGCTACAAAATGGCCTAGAAATATTTTGCGCTCTATATTGTTTTCTCAAATATCACTTTATTCGAGAAATAATACGTATTTATACAGCTCTGAACTATCTTCGTGTTAATATTTCGTTCGAAATTGGATTAATTAATATATCGATTATTTCTCGTGTACCTTGATATTTCACAGATTTTAATTAAGTAAAAATAACTATCTCTCATTTCCAAACGAGTATTTTATATTATTAACATACAGAGATGTGGAAATCTGGATACGTCCTGGATTCTATATATATTGGGATATAATCATTTGTGTCGATGAAAAGCCGAATCGACGACACGATCGGTGATCGCGATGAAGGTGAGCGTTCTCAAGAAGCTCCTTCTCTTTCTCTCTTTCTCTCCCTCTCTTGACTTCTCGCAAAAATAGAATCAATAAAAGGAATCGACGTTACATGGAAGTAGGTCTGCGCGCTATCCCGCGAGTCAACTCGACAAGGTTCTCGACCTTTGCTATTAAGGGACGTACCTATCCGAGCGCCGCGACGCCGTTTCCGAGCGCCCTTCTTTATTTATCGCGCTCAATTCCGCGTTGTCTTTGTGGTTGTCAGATCGATGCCCGACCGACGGATTTTATTAACGATCGATGCTGCCCGAATGTTCTCACCTGCCGCGTACGGGAGATTCGTCTGAGTCGAGCAGAATATGAATATTGCATTAGCTTGAATTGCAAATGACAAAATAGATTCAATATTTAATTATGCGTATATTGATTTTGTGATTTCATATCTTATGCAATTAGCGGTTTCGAATATATTAAAAGATAAAAGTATAAATCTCAAAGTACACAGAATAATACATACACGTATTTGTATCATCAGATATCAAATATTCCAGCTTCCCCTTTTGTGCGAATACAAAAGTTCAAAATGTAGAAACACACTGACAAAAATTTCAATATTGATATCATTTCAAGATGAAGTTGTAAACTGAGGGAAAAATTGTTTTAAATCAAATAAATTTGTTTTCTTGAAACTTTTGCTTTAAATGCAAGGAATTGTTTATTTCATTTAAGCAAAAGTATTTAATTTTAATTAAATATGCAATATATGTTATATTAAGTACATTATTTTCATTTGTATATTTTTTATATTTAAATACTATTTTCATAAAATATATCCTATAATTTATTAAATTAAATATATTATTTTTTAAATTTAGAAAATTTAAAATTTTTGGAAATAAAAAATGCACTTTAATAAATATTTTGTAAAATTAAAATAAAAATATTTAATTAAAAATTATATTTTTTTAAGCATATATATTTTTTTAAACATATGTAAATAAATACTTAACTTAAGCAAACAGACGTTTAATATAAATACGTGATTAGTACCCACCGAATAAATAGCTTTCTTGAGTTAACTAAAATTTTTTTATTTCAACATAATTTTTTCCTCATTGTAGCTTACAGCGCATTATTAGCGAGTTCAATAAAACTTAGAAATTTCACAAAAGCGCCTAATTTTATTTACCATTAAATCGCATTACATTAATGCCTTTAGGACGTAAATTTATTTTTCTCATATTGCGGAAAATAACTTTTATATTTGAATGAAACATTCTTTATGTAAACATAATAAATATCTTTCTTCGATATTCTTTGGATCTGAAATTTAAGAGTAACGTAATTTAAATAAATAAAAAAAAAAGATAATCTTAAGGGAGGTAAAATGAAATTTTCATGAAGAAATAAATATAAAATATTTATCTGCCGTTTATATTTTTACATTATATCTGTACATCGGGCAGATTTCATATTGTGCTCCGAGTTGATTGTGAGCTTCTACTTGAGCGGTCGCATGGCCGACCGCGACAGTCCAATTCTACGCATTGCCGGGGTATCCCCAGTCATGCTAGGCGCATGCAAGAGCCTCGGCCGATACCATCTAACCCTGATCGGTCCTAACCCTGAAACCAGACCCCCGTGCACCTTCACACAAACATGCGCCGCTACTTTTCTTGATTTTCACACTATTACAATACGCGTAATTATGCGCTTTGCGGCAATATACAGGGTGACTATGAAACGAAGAGTTTTTATTTCGAGGAAGTAAAGTCTCTCTTTCTCTCGTCTGAAAGAACCTAACGCGATTATTTCTTTCGACAAAAGTTTTCCACTGAAATTAAAATCTAAGTAAATGTAACCAACAGATATTATAAGTTTAGGTTAGGTTAGGTGTTTCAAGTTGTAACGTCTCTTTTGGATTATTTTCTTAGATATTGAAGGATTCCGGAGTCTTTCTCTTTCCTTAAATACAACAGAGCAAAGTTGCTCCCAACGGTGTAGTCTAATTTTATCCTATGCTCTCTAAAATTTCTCATTTTGGAGAAAGTACGGTCTAATAACATTTGCATGGGAATTGCATCAGAATTTTGTCCCGCATGATAAACCTGGTCGTATATAATTTACCTCATAAAACAACAATGCCGTCCAATTTGAACGAGGATTTTCCTATTGCGGGAGACTCTTACCCAGCAAACACCAAATAACAGTTATATAACTGTTAGTTATAATTTCCTATTCAACAATATAACTGATACATAACAGTTACATAACAACAACAAGTTATATTGCTGAGCGAGAAATAAATATTAGGCTT